AAAGCTTATTTCGCAATCGGTGCCTGTCGGTGTTATATCGAACCGCTGAGAGAGGAATGGTTACATTCTGGATTTAATTAATTAGAAGTGAAGTGTCTAACTGCACGTGACATTTACTTACTTTAAATGCCCTACGATATTGCACAATTACGTTTACGAAGGGAATCTGCCATATGCAAATCGTTTATCTCAAGTGCCCGCGATTATTTAAAGTCTGAATAGAGTATAAATTAGATTTGCATTTAGAGTAGAAAATATCATGATAGGTGAAAGGAGCAAATTCAGGAAATGGGGAGCTTTTGTATGACGAAGTAATGGTGGTAGTTAGTGTGGAAGTTTTACAAATGTCCCATCGATTTAACCGATACCTTGACACAATGCTGACTCGGCACGTTCCCAATACGATAGTGTTAATTCAGCAAGATCATCCAACAAGTAGATCTTTCACGATGATAGGTCTTCAGTTATTCTTTACGCTTCTCTTTCGGCTTGTCTTGAGCTGGGAATTAAACTCGGACAATGATGTGCTTCAACGTTAAAAAGAAGGGTCTACCGAATAAACACATTTACCAAAATTAACGTCGAGAGAATAAACGTTGACGTATAAGATTTATTAGCCTATGAATATTGGGCGTGGGAAGAAATATTCCTAATTGCCCTAATACTGGCATCGTGCGTGGGCGCGTTAATCTGAAAATAATTATCTAAGCAAATCATTGCTTCTACCATTTTCTTGCTATTTTTAGGTAACCTCAGAATTTATTGCGTTTTGCGCATTTTTCTTCTCACCTACAAACCTGGAATTTTTGGCTGCCAAACTATACTAAAAGAACAAACTTTCGATCGAAGTATTTAATACAACTAATTAGATGCATGCATCTACTAAAGTGGTCCTATGTACGAGAAATTTACAGTCCAAGGTATTTCTGTGTAGGCAATTAAATTGTGTATATCCTTGGAATCCAAGCGATTCGGATTCGGGATTCACAGATATTACAGTTGGATTATAATTTCGTAAAAAAAAGGGTAACAGAACATATAAGCGTAAAAAAATAACACAACCTAACAAAGATAATCTCGCAAAACAACGCACACACTACTCACTAAAACTAATTCACATAACCTTCCTTTACAAAAGCCGTTGTGATATCTATACATCAAACTCAATTCAATGTGTTTGAGCGTTTTCTCGAGCAAACGTACTGCATATTTAATGGTTTTGATATCTTTTTGTAAAGATCCACGTTTTCAACTAAAAGAATCTTGAAAAGAACTTCTGATGTAACCAGAACTCCTGCACGTAAAAAACGACGAGATTACCTTTTGTCATATCATCAAGTTGCTGGGCAGAAATATGCGAGGGTAAACAAAAATAAAAGGAAAAATAAGAAAGAGAATATAAGAGAGAAGATTCTAAATAGAAAGCCAAGTCATATGAAATTCGTAAAGGCCAAAATTGTAAAAAAGATATATAAATCAAATCACACAAAGAAACTGTCAAGAGAGAAAGGTCGGTAACGAGAAGTTAAATAAAGTTTATCAAAGCTTTGAAGAAATTGAGGAAATATCCAACAAGAATACATATGTATATCCAAATTGAAAAAAAACACAGGAGAAAATTAAATTCATTCCTTACAATGAAGGTTTTGGATGGAAAACGGTGAGGAAAATATCCAAACAGAGCCCAACGCTTTGCCTACGTATTTTGTAATATTTATTTAAATAAAAGTGGGGTCAACTACTATTGGCCTTTGGGGCCGAGTACTTTAATTTCCGAGTCAAGTAATGTCATTTTACTGACGAGTTTTATATTACATTTTGCCCAAAATCGCATTTTAATATAAAATTTCAATTTTTATATACATTTGATTACTGCTAATCTGTCCAGTGACGACAGAAGTTATTATAGAAATTATCAATATGGCAGATGCTCCCACAAAAGTGACAGGTGCGACCGGTAAAGTGACAGGCGGCAAAAAAAGTAATCTGGTAAAGTTTCACTGTCTGTGTCATGGAAACAAAAATTTCCTGGACGTATGAAAATGAAGGTTTCATGACGATTTTGGGTAAACAATATTACATTATTATATTTTTGGTACTTGCACTATCGTATGATGTAAAATCAACGCACTTTTATTTAGTAACCTAGGTAGATATTTTATATTATTTACAAGGGTTAATCAGTTAGGTACCTAGGAGTTGGGACAAGTTTTAAAGGTAAGGTTTTTCCTACTGCCAATTATTAGAAGTTGCTGCTAATAACTAGGTGTTAATAACTTTGCTGCAAATTACTAAAAATGGGACACGAATGTCAACTGAAAATTTGTTCAACACAATAGAGGTCCATATTTCGTAAACAAACCGGTTTTAACATTAATGACGTCCTTATTGACTAAAAACAAAAACATTAGGGGGTCGTTAAAGCTAACTTGCCAATAACAGACCACTAATTTAGGTTTTCAAGATAGCAACTACTGTAATACTATTAAACATAGTCATTGGTTCCAAACTCCAATTCGTAAATATAATTATCAAAATTTTAGGTATAAATATCAAATTATTCACTGCCTCTTTTAAACTTTGGATTTTCATCTTTCTTGCAGTATCAAAGTGTCCATTGTACTGCTTCTACTTTGTTGTCTGTTCATCCGTCGGATCAACTAGATAGCAAAGCAGAATGCATAGGGATAAGATATGCTGCAAAGATTCTTTACTGACACCGGTGAGGTTCCTAAATTATTCACAAATCGATATTTCTAAAGGACGTTCTACAACGTGTGGAGATCAACTCTGGAAGATTTTCTAAAATTCTGAAGGAAGGAGGGTCATGTGTGGATATTAGTAAGAATGTGATGTTGGTTTGCCGAAGAGATTGGGTCTAATGGGTCAGATGCTCGGTTGCAACCAAGAAGACGACTAGTTCTAGTCTTAAACATTTTTAAATAGAATGGTAGTTCGATTAGGTACCAGCAAATTGGGGGGATTTTTCGTGAAGTTAGTGCAGTAACCTCCACCGAAAGAGATTTTTCATAGAATTACTTAAAATTCTATAGGGGCGCATAGAAATCTCATACATATTAGTAAATTATAAAAGCGATAAAACTTAAACACGAAAAAAATATGCAATTACAAACAATATTAAAACGAGAAAAAGACACAGAGATAGCAGTTTCAAGTGCAATAAACCCACTTTGTGCTTATTCATAAATAACTAGACAGTTTCATACCTAACTGAAATACTATAACAGCAGAACATTTGTATGATACGGCAAAAAAATAGCACAAATCAAATAACCAAGTATACATTGTGCTCAAATTTTGTGCAGAAAAATCGCATTTTTTTTAACCGAAACAGCCTTGTAAATAGTTGCTTATAATGGGCATACCGTATCGCACCTTACTTTCAAATATTGAATAGTAGATTTGCAAAAGGGTTTTATGGTCACATAAATTTTTACAACGGGACAATGCGAAAATCGCTTAATGTAATTTTGCTCTCAGATGGTCAATGTGATCTTTCCAACTAAGTTCTGTATCTATAATGACTCCTAAAAAGATACAGGATTGAGACCTTTCTAATTCTGGTAACGCAGTGGAGCGATATCAAAACCCATATTTTTCTTACAAAGAAGAATTTTTGTTTTTTCCAAATTGAGTAAAAGTTTATTTGCATGAAACCAATTAATAAGAGTTGATAACGCACGCTTTAAATTAATTTCTAACTCTTCTTCAACACAAGCCACGCTAACACTAGTATCATCTGCATATGTGGTGATATCACATGAATATGGATCGAAGCAGTTAAATAGGTCATTAATAAAAATTATAAATAATATAGGACCAAGGATAGATCCTTGGGGTACTCCATACTTAATTGATTTTAATTCGGATGCAACTTCAATCATTTGTACCGAGGAAGAAATTTGCTCAACTGCAACATATTGCCACCTAATAAAGGATCTCAATAAGTTTAGCGTTACGCCTCTAATGCCACATGAGTATAGCTTGTCCACTAACAAGTTATGATCAACCAGATCGAAAGCCTTCGACAAATCACAACTTATCGATGCTGCAACCTTGCCATTATTATGCGCAGTGTGTATGTAGTGTAACATACTTTGTAAAGCTGTGGTAGTTGATTTATGCTGTATTTATCGATTGCTAGATTATTAATGAGGAGGGGACACATTCAAAATTTACGCTATATAATGCAAAAAGAACCAAGTCCTTAGAGGAATTACTGTTTTTCCCATTGTAGGGACTTTCTGCGAACACTTTCAAAATATTCACAATTCAATTTTCACATCGCCAGGAGATACGTGTCGTTTAGACCGTCTTGACGCCTTTTGAGAGTACTCTCCTCTGACACCCTCTAGACGAATCATTTTGCCTTTGTGAGTACTCTCCTTCGACAAACCATTCTCGAGATATTAAATAAAACAATAATCACGGTTACTTATTAGTCTCATTTTCCACATTAGTTTCAACATGAATTTCTACATTGATCACGTTCGTATCGTGTGCCGGATATATTCCCTTAAAAATAGATACGCAGATGTGAATTGTATAATACCTACCTATTACATTATAACGACTAAGGACCGCTATTCAGAACAAAGGACCTTAACTTCGTGTTTGTTAGCCGATTTCTCATAAATTTGATAAAGACAAGCTCTTTATTATTAAAGGTATTAGTTTTCGCCAAATTTTGCTCGTCTATATCAAATTACTTATATTATTATATACCTACTTGTCTAATATTAATAATTATCCGTCATTTGACAACGTAATTTGTTCTTTCCTAAAGACAGTCAACGCTTCTTTAACAGAAAAAGCAGGTATTGCAATGATGACATTGGAAAATACGAATTTTAAGGTTACTCAACTGGCTTCGATTGAGTAAAACAACATTTATTAATGAAGGACTCTCTTATTAAACGACATATTGGTATTTCAAGTTTTGGTATATTGTGACCTTTTGAGGGGTGGGCGCGCCCGGACGACTTCTGCTCTAGATACCGCAAAATTTGGGTATAAAAGACACACGAGATCAGATTTTTTCATTGTAAACGTTTGCAAAGTGAGGTAAACAGCAATGGCTTTACAGGTAAGATGTTCCGTTAAGTAATTTGGAAGGTTTCTGATTTTGTTTTTAGTTTGTAGTTCTCGCCGTCTTCATAGCGGCCGCCAATGCTGGTGGTCTAGCTCCTGTGGCCTACAGTGCCTATTCCTCGCCAGTCGCGTCTTATTCGTACTCGTCTCCACTCGCCTACGCCGCCGCGCCAATTGCTAAGGTAGCAGCTCCGCTTGCATACGCCGCCCCCGTGGCGAAGTTGGCAGCACCTCTTGCCTACGCAGCTCCAGCCCCATTGTCCTATGCTGCACCCGCACCAATTGCCTACGCCGCGCATTTGCCGCGCGTTGCTGCGCCTCTTCACTACGCCGCACCTGCCCCACTGGCCTATGCCACACCGGCCATTGCTAAAGTTGCCGCACCCCTAGCCGTTGCCAAAACCGTTGTAGCTGAAGACTTCGACCCCAACCCTCAGTACTCCTTCGCTTATAACGTGCAAGACCACCTCACCGGCGACAGCAAAAGCCAGCACGAAACTCGCAACGGCGACTACGTAGAGGGAAGCTACTCCGTTGCCGATCCTGATGGTTCAAACCGCATCGTTGACTACACCGCCGACCCTGTTAATGGATTCAACGCCATCGTACGCAAAGAACCCCTCGTCGCTAAAATTGCCGTTGCCCCGGTCGCGAAATACGCAGCTCCACTTGCCATCGCAAAGTTACACTGAATATGTTAAATTCTTATTTATTTACTTAATTTGTACATAAACGTAATAAATCTCGATTGACATTTTAAGGTTAAGGGTATCGCGATATTTTACCAAGGTCCTCGAAAATAAAAGATCGGGGCGACAACGCACTTGAAAGTGGATCGCATACTTACGCCTCGTCAGAATGACATTACAAATGGTAAACAGCACTATTACGCAATGGTCTGGTCAAAAGAAGTCCCACTTATTTCTTTCAACACAACGTGTCTACCAGTCTATAAACATTTAATTTAATTAAATATTTAAGATACCTCCGAATTAAACGGGGTTAAGTACGCCTTAGCCTTGAGGACAAAGTTTATTTATTTATTATTTTATTGTCGTTATTTTTTCACAGCGGTAATTATTTCTTGTATCCCATGGAAATTAGAAAAATTATCTTGATATGTGGTGCTGTAGTTCTGTTAATTAAATGGTAAAGACGTTCTTCACAGTTGGTGTGCGGTAAATTCGCCCCGGAAGACTTGCCCCGGTAAATTCCCCCGGAATATTCGCCCCCAAGTAAATTCGCTCCCAACAAATTCGCCTCCGGAATATTCGCCCCGACTAATTCGCCCCCGTAGCATTCGCCCCATAACATTTATTAACCCTCGGAAGTAATAGGTTAGTTTAAATTAATTAAATAAATATTTGCAAAAATTACAATATTTGGAACTCAATACGGCGAGACTGACAACTCGAAATTGTTCATATTCAATCGTCTCTCACCTGTGAAAGGCTGATTCAACGGTTCAACGTCAACTGTATGTTTACAATACATTTTACAACAAATTGCGTTTACAAAGGAGTCTAATTACTTATGGATGTATTGAAATATTTATGAACTATTTATGGATGTATTGAAATGTATTTGGCATCAATGTATAAACAAAGGATGAGTCTTTCTTCAGACTTACATTTGAAAATTGGTCCAGATTTGATGTAAATTTGTGTTGAAAAACACCAACATTGATGAAGTTTGCTGAAGTATCAAATCATAACTAAAATAATCTAAAAAAATCTAACTCGAAACATCCCGTTTCTTTAAAATATAAAAAAAAGTTTGCTTATATATTTATTAGTTAAGTAACAATTAGTCTGCTACGGTACTCTTGTACTCGTTCCAAACTCAGCCCGTCGGATCAGCCTTAAATTTGAGAATTTTGGTAAAAAATGTACAAATGCCATGAAAGTTTTAAAATGTCCAAAGTATCCACTTGAGATCAAAAAATGTTGACCGTTGACCATTTACCAAAAATCTAGACCTTAAAAGACAATGAATTTAGGATATACTTTGTGTCCTACTATTATGTATAAAAATGACAATACAGACACGTTTTTATTACTGATGCCATAAGAGTTCCTTTTTTGCTGTTGTCAGTTTTATTTTCAGATTTTTGTATTTACGAAAGGTGAAATATTGTGTTCATGATTTACAATAAAATAAACTCTTCGTCTATTAGGATTGTAATATTTAAAATCTTAGAAAATCGTGCACAAAATTCGTTTTTTTAAGTAAATCTAACTACCTAATTAAAAAGTCCCTATTAATCCCGTAGAACCGTAGAATAAAATCGTTAACCAAAAATCAAAGTTCGTATTCGCGCCAAAATATAACAAGTGGGAACATAAAAAGTTTCAAAACAAATACACAGCCAATCACCAAACGAGCCATCAAACGTTCTGTTAGGAAGAAATTAAGAAGCTAACAACTCAGTCAATCAAAAATGTCATTTAAATTACATTACATATTACCTTCTTTTGTAATACTGGATATGGATTTTCCATATGTCATGTCTGAAACCTTATCTTAATTACCTATTTATATTTTAGTTAAATTAAATTAAATTAAATTAAATTTCCTTTTATTGCCCAACAGAAAAACAAACATTCCAATTACAGGACAATATGACGTTACAAATAATAAAGTGTGCAAAAGTGAAATAATAGCTTAAATCTTAATATAATAATACCTGATTGTTCTACATAACAAAACAACCAAAAACAAAACAAAAGAAAATTAATAAAATGAAAAACTAACAGGTATTTGAGTGCTATTATTCTACCCCCTTTATGTAGGTATACACAGTTATTACAAAAAAATTAAAATTAAACAAAATTCATTTTATGAGCTGCTGGTCCTGTTACCTCCAAGGATTAATATAAATCTTATGGGGCGAATCCTACAGGAGCGGAATCGCCGGGGGCAAATCTTCCAGGAGCGAATTTGTCGGGGGCGAACTTGCCGGGGGCGAATGTTCCGGGGCGAATTTACTTGGTGGCGAGTTTTCTTGGGGGCGAATATTCCGGAAGCGAATATGCAGGGGCGAATTTACCGGGGCGAATTTTCGGGGGCGAATCATCCTACAATCTCACAGTTACCTGAATTATTCGTTGTAAATCTACTATAAAATTGGTTGTTGGTTATTTCGTCACTCCATGTGTCCATGTGTCCGTTGCTATTCAATTTAGAATTAAAATTCAAAGTCTTGTAAAAGAAGGCGTATAAGTTTCTTAAACCAAACACATTATTTTTCGGCACATAAAATATATTCCTTTTTATTTTTGGAGTTTTCACCTTCAGTACCTTCATAAAAATGAGCTATTATTAAAAAAAAATTAGTTAAATGGAAGAAAATGGAGCAAACATCAAATTTATACGATTAGAGGTTCTTAGGCGGTCCTGGACACAGGTTCCCCCCCCCCCCCCCCCTTCAACCATGCCTGGTGAGTTTTGGCACCCATAAAGGATATTTTTTTAATGAACATTACCTTTTTTCCCACCTTTGCATACGCTACTTCAGACTTAGATAAAGAATAAATACGTATGAAGCATTTATACAAAAAAAGTTAATATAACAATTACTGCTCAGCTCCGGTTATGAAATAAAATTCCTATGAACCCACACCAAATTCACCTCCCACACTTGGGATGTTCTGATTTTTATTAAACTTTGAGATATCTATTATCTAAGCAATAAATCTAAGTACCTTTCTGACAGCTTCGTTGAAGGTAAGTAGCGTACTTTTCGACTACGGAAATTAAACGTCCCTAAACCACCTGAACTGAACTGAACTGAAAAAAAGAAGGTTCTAAACACTTTTATAGATCATATTCTTATAGATAGGCACAAGAATGTAATCTCTAGCCAAAGAATTGTCGAGCTATAAGTTTTCCTTTAAGCTGATTTAACAGCATATGTGCTTATTGTCTTCTCCTAATTTAATACAAATTCCTTTCGCCCTCCCCATCACTACATTAATCACCACCTGGTGTGACAAATGCTATGTTAGGCTAAAAGCGTAGTTTATATGTAATTAATTGATTTTCACGCCCGGTCGTATTAATAGCGCCTAAATGTTGAAATAATTTCCCAAACAGAAGTGCTAGTGGTGGTGATTCTGGTACGAGTAAATAGAGAACCAGCCTAATTACTAAAAGCAGAAATTGATCTGAATGAAATATCAGTGTTCAATTTGTGAACGAATTTGAAAAGAGGAAGTGCTCGATCACTAGGGCGAGACGGAGGTCATCACACACAGTTTGCGGTAAGACATAATTCAAGAGAACTGAACGCATTGCCCTATGTTTATATTTATCTACAAAAAAAAAACTAGAATTTAATGCACCCTTTGTGTGAGTTTTCTTGGCATGCCTACAAGAGAAATCTGTAAAGGCTGGGATCATTTTTTATTTAGGATTTAATGCGCGTATTCTTTGAGTTTTCATTTATTAATGTCTTAATTTCACGTTAGTGGAATTAATTTATTACATAGTTTCTTTCGAAATTCGTGTGGGTGTATTTTGACTAAGAAACATTAGGGCCTTATTTATGTACCTATCTGTATTTTTCAGACTTGTAAGAACAACACTGAGGAGCTTCATATGAGTTTGTGTTTTAATGCGGCATTTTTTAGTTCCCAGAAGTGTTTGGTTCTGTTAGAATCTCAATATATATTTTTTTAATATTCGTGTTAGGGAATTTTTGAGAAGTGAGTGTTTTACCACATCAGTAAACGGTAATTGGTAGCGCAGATTACCATTAATCTGTGTTGGTAGTAATTTTATCATGGAACGGGCATTTCTTTCATGTATACTTCAAAATTGCCGTGAAAAAAAAAATAATCATGAAATATTATATAAACTAGGAGTGTCATTAATTGAGGATTTACTTGTACAAAATACGAGTACACGTTTCAAGCTCTTTGCTTGGTTAGTAGATAGCTTTCGAAGAAAGCCTCATTATACCATAACGAAAGAAATACACAATAGACGCATACAATGGAGCAATCAAACTTGTTCGAATATCGTAAGCCCTTGTTCGTACTTTGGCGTAGGGACATTGTGTTATTCTTGTGCTGGAACTACGGAGCGTATAAACGCTATTGTCTCATAAAATATTCACATCCATGATGCTAATTTATTAATGCCCATCAGCGTTTATCGAGACACGTTTAATATAGTTTACAAGCGTTTGTATGACGATGTTTACCTAATCTGAGAAAACTAGTAAATATTTGTACTTATGGCTCTGTGTCAAACAAACTTATAAGGCTGAGTATTTATTTTCGAATTTGAGTGCAACAATTTAAAATACAATAATACTAGAAAGTAATTCCATAAAAATGATTTACTGACACCATCGCAGTCGTTAAAGCGTTAAAAGAATTTAGTTTCAAATAATCTGGCGTATCTAACCTAGCACAGATAATCGTACCGCAATTTGACGAAAATATTGGCGCCGCGTTTGAACAACCTTCAAGGTTATGATATTAAAAAATACTTTTGATAAGTCGAAACGGTACTTATTTCAACGAGAGGTTAAAACCCTTTTCCCTTACTTTTAATGTAAATCAGTTTCTCTAAGGAAAACAATATAAAATATAAATATACACACAATTTGGTTGTGCAACGAAAACACTTACGGAAATAAAAACCTAATGTGCAACTTAAGCGGGTCCATTAACTTGGCCCCCCC